ATCATAAAGAGTCAGAGGGAGGGGATAAAAAAAACACCATCTCTTCATCTGATACCTGTGGCAAAATAAATACAAATTTAGATGTAGTAGAAGATGGTCACACTGCTCTGAAACAACTGCAGTAATAATACTTCAGTCTGCGACTGCTGAAGGAGAATTGCAGAAAGATGAGGTCATCATTCCACATGTTGTGGAAACTACATACATTTACTCATTACTATACTATTATTATGAATTATTGTTATTTCCACTTTATATTATACTTTATATATAAATATATCTACATCTTTTTGTCTTGTGACCTATTGTAAAACATCTGTGTCTGGTTGGAGCCTCCATGAGTTGTTAGCAGTTCCACCAAAGAGATTCAATTAACTCATCATTCAATTAACTGTTCAAAGCTCATAGAGGTGAAATTATACTGTATTGTTTTTTTCTTCAAAAACAGCAAAGATTAGAGAGGAGTTCTCAAATATGTGTAGCAGAACTTTTCTACTCCATCAGTCACCTCACAACCTCTCAGGTTTATCTTGACCCATCGGAGGGGAACCAGCCTTTAAGTTAGGAGCCACTCGACTAAACTACATAACAAATCTATAAAGTAATTAAAACGAGCTCCACTGCAACCAGCAGCAACTGTAAAATGCTGCTTACAGTACACATTAATGCATCACTAGTAATTTTTGATGATAATACTTCTGTACTTTTTTTACTTAAGAGGAATTTTGAATGCAGAACTTTTAAATGCAATGGAGTGTTCTTATATTGTTATATATGATATAATCACATATATTTATTTGATAACAATGTATCAAATGACAATGTGACAATGTGAAAGGGGAACACCAGAATCAGGAGAAAATGGAGAGAGCAATTGAGCATAGAGGAAGGGGAGTCCAGTGGAGCAAACAAGATCTGCCGCTGTGTGAGGAGAGTCTCTGACAGGCCTGCAGCTTGTGATGGAGGGTCCCAGTACAGCAGGAGCTGAAACCGTCAGGGTGAAACTATGTTTGACAGGAGCAAACTGTCTGAGTGGGGCCAACACGACCTGCCATTACCGCTACGGGGGGTGGCCGGGAGGCTGCAAAGCCTGAGGAGATAAATTGTTGAGAGGAAACACACACGTATACACACAGCGAACGGACAGATGGGGGTACATTCACAAACACACACCAGCGTGCCTGTGTGGGTACGCTCACATGCACACACACACACGGGCAAAGACACGCAGAGACACAGTGGCAAGTTCATATTAGTGCTACTGTGCCCTCTGCACATAGAGGCTGCCAACTCACTCTGACCCATCTTTATTCAGTTATGATAATGCAGTGTCACGCAGGTACAGATTATGTTAAGGTGTCTGAGGGGAAAGCTTAAATAGAGGATGAGAGCTCTCAAACTGGGAGTGTTATTGTAGAGAACAGGCTGCCTGAGAGTGCATCTGCTGTGATTTGGAGATGCTTAAGCCTACAGCACTAGAAGTTATATGTAAGAGTCGCACAGAACTGCATCAAATCACATTATTTTGTTTTCTTCTGCTTACAGTAAGGGACAGGGGTTTGGTTTCTAGGGGGTATAATGTTCATATTCTTCTTCCTAAATCAAATTATGTGTTCTGTATGTCCATTGCTGCAGCTCTTTTTCCTTTACTGATATGTTTTCAGTATTTTACTGTTCATTCATATTGTCCTTTTTTACTGCCTGAAATGTAGTATTTGCTTTTGCATTTTAGTTGTTGTAAGTTGTTTGCAGAGTAAACAAACTGGACAGTAAGGAATCTGCACATTTAACATTGTTGATAGATCATCAGTTACATCCTCTAACATGTGCATGAGTGTGTAAAGCTCATCACAGCCATGCCAGCAGCCTCTGCAGTAATCCACTGGGATAAACTGGTACAAGGTTTCAGGATTAATAACCGCGAAAAGTGTGCAACTACCCCTGCGGCCCCAAAACCAAGCTCAAGGCTCAGTTTTCAATAAATAAACACACTATGTCACAGAGATTCTCTTGAAACCATATTCCACTATAATCTGTGACGCAGTGTTTATTTATTGATTGCCTGCCTGTGCAGCAGCACTACCTGTTTTGTGTTACACCACACTTTCAGATCCAAGAAATGCCTTCTTATTTGTTTTGGTAACATATAGAAAAGCTACTTTTAAGTTAATCCGGCCATGATGATGGGGTTTTCTTTAGTAACTGGGTGACAATTTCAATTCCCAGTACAAAAAAGGTAAAAAGTTTTAAAGATCTAAATCACTTTATAACTATTTGAACTCTTCTTTTTCATGTCGTCCATCACTTTCTTTGATTATGTTTCTAAAAATAATGCAATTGGATATTTTGAAACAAAACCTGCTTTCATTTTCAACAGATTTTAAGAGAGAAAATAAATCAGCGTGGTTTGCTTTTCATACTGAACAATATTTTGTTCGAGGATGTGTGTTTAGTATTTTCCTACATGCAAAACAAATATAAGATTTATTGTTTTGTAAATACTATCATAATCACTGGTCCTTTGCTGTTTATGACACTATCAAATCAATAATGTCCCCGCATGGATTCACAGCAGTAACAGAAAAAAAAAACAGAAACGCCAGGTAAAAACACAAAGAACATCTTATAAACAGAAATTAGAAGCAGAGTACACAAGTTAAAACTATTTAAAACTTAGTTATATGATGAATAAAAGTATAAAAGTCATCATATTTTAAATGTAGGCCCTGAATGGAAAGAGTTTTTTTTATTATTTTTTTGTTAGTTTTGGTCAAAGAGAGTCTAAAAAGGGAACCTAACTTTTCTTTTTCTTGATAATCTGTCTTTTAGTGGGTTTGATTATTACATGATGTCCTCTTCATCCCCTGACAGACATTTTTATCTGCTACAGGGGTTAAACTGTGAAGAGCACATCACTTCACACAGGAGCACTTTAGACAAACGATTCATGACACATTTCGGGTAACAGACAAATGCAATGTGGCCTACACCTCCGGCCCTGTAATTCTCTGTGGAAATACATTGCAAGAAGTCTTACAGCCTTTGTTTGAACAGCGGGAGACTTTGACAAGCTGCAAGGCAGAGATAATACAAGCGTTTCTCTTTTTTTATGACAAAGAGGAAGTTGAATGCTGACAACTTGTATCGCATGGTCTGAGAAGTACCGCAAATTCCTGTGTAACTCCAGATCTGACGAAGACAGAGGCTAAAGGGTTTGAAGGTTCAAGGGTAGTAGAAGGGCAATAGGGCAATTTCTTGTACAGCAATAAACAACATTACCAGGCAACAACCACTGAGAAAACAAATAAAGTAAGTGTTGTAAGTGCATAAATATAACACAAATATCAAATAACGTTATTTAAAAGGCCAACTGCAGCAGGAACAAATTAGTATTTCAGTCATTAGTATTGATGTTCTTCATTATAATATGTGTGTTATGTGTGTGTGTTTTTTTCATGCATGTACGAGAATGCATTTGCTTCTGCATACTGTGTGAGTGTATTGTGTGTGTTTAAGTATCCCCATCTGTGAATTGATTACAATTATGTGTGTGCATTAACATTCAGCACACACATTCTCTTATAAACAACCCCCAATACACACACAGACACACACACACATACATATATAGTTCATACATGTGCACAGCCACATGCAAATCAGAGATTCAGTGGAGGCAGTAGGGAAAAGCAGGAGAGAGGAGTCATGGAAGAGGAGGAGGAGGAGGAGGTAGATGTGACATGATTTACAATGAGATCATTAACCTTGAGAAGCAGAATGGCCTCTGCGACATAAACACTATCTCTTAGACAGACACCTCGCAAGAACAATACCTTGTGCACACACACACAACACGCTCGTGACTGCTCAGAAAAAACACATGCAGGTGAGCAGGCGTGTATTTATAGGCAAGCGCGCACACACACAAATCTAAACAGACTCGCAATGTTCAAAGCTCAATTGATCCTTAAAATAACAAAACATTAGCTTTGTCTCAAATACTGAATAATGACATACTAAATCTAAGCAGGGTTGGATTATGTGGCGTGTTTATATTGGAAAAGTGACTAAATAATGTCACTGGCGGTGAAACAGCTCCAAAAATATTATGGCAAACAAATAAAATATCAAACTAAAATGACATTTTTGCTTTTCTGTTTGTGAACTCATATCGGCTGTAACTTTCAAACAAAGTGGCAGTTTGATTGAACTGTATTGGCACACGTATTACATAATTTCCTCTTAGAATAAACTCATTATAATGAATTCAAAAACAGTACGCTAAGACAATTAGAAGACATGATATACTTATTTTAGTTTATTAGTTTGCTAGTGGCTCCATGAGTAAGTACAGTGCTCAGGTCAAATTGGATGGAAGGTAGAGATTGGAAATATTGTCTTCTTAACAACTTGTTTCTGTCATCAGGATGATTCCAGGATTGCAAAGTTGTTAAAATACTGTGCATTGACAAGATAAAACCATATTCATTAAATCTGGGTTTAATTTGTCATGTCTTTTATGTCTCTTCTTTTTCACTAATCTTGTAGACTTGCACTATTAATGAACACCATAAATAAATAAAACTACCACACTGTTAAAATATACCACTACAAGTCCTGAATTCAAAACCTTACTGTGAAAGTATTACTAGTAAAATGAACTTAAAGTTTTAAGAGTCAAAGTACTGAAAAAAGGAGTTTAACTAGGCTGAAAGACATTGTTTGGCCGATGTAAGGCGGATATATCGGATAAATTCTGAGTTCCCCAGCCGTAATCACTTGAATGCCATTAATAATAATTGTGTTCATTTTTATGTGTTATCAGTATGTTACAATGAGGACAAAAGTATTACACACTTCACAGCCCTGGCGGAGTCCCATGTCATCCCCTCTTTTTCTCCCTCCCCACTTTCCTGTCATTCTTCAGACCAAATAAAGGCAATAAAAAGCTTAAAATTCATCTAAAGTTTACAATACAGTAAATTAATCAGCAGTCACTATAAAGGTATCACACAATCCTCATTTATTTCTCAACAATCTTATTCTATTATAAATCTTTAGTATGTAAATCATATTTCAATAAAACATTTGTCGTCAATAATCATTTACAGGTTAAGTCAGAGAGTGAAAGCTTCCCTCTGACAAATCCAGCAGTAAACATCTACAATCACACACTCACTAGGTACAAGTGAAGAAAAACCCAAAACATTCATTTACTGGCACAAAGGCTCATAGGATACAGACTGACAAAAAGCCCTTTCAAAAGTGCATTATACAGCAGTCATGTTGCAATGTCTATAAATAGAAACAATAAAATAGACAAATATGTTTCCTTAATATATTTGGCAATATATCACTCTTCTGATTCAGATATGTAAAAAAAAGTGTCAGTTGTATTTTTTCTTAATATTCTTTCTCATGTCATGTTCAAAATATAAGTTACAAAATGGTTTTAAAATAGTGGAAGACATTTTGGAATTTGCAAAAAGCAAAGCAGTGTTTCAGTATATTTACGTCAGTATAGTCAAATGACTGGTGATTGTGAAATAAAGGTACATTTCAACATTAAAGCCTTCAAATAATAACGTCCATATAAGACAACTCGAAGTATAAAAGTGATTTTTGGACTTGTATTATGTGAAGGCTGTATGTTGAGGTTTCTGTTTGACACACTGCAGAAGTAACATCACACAGCACAACAGTACACAACTGTACGGGAGAACAAACATCTCTCTCTCGTCTAGAAAAGCCCTCTGTAAATAAAACCTATGATTATGTTTGTTTTTCCAAAAACAAACCTTTCTCCATCTAAAGGCTTCATGTATCTTAAGACAAATTGCAGCTTCACTAAATTTAATACAAAATCATCAGCTTGTCAAAACATGAGTGATGATTCAAGTTAGGTTTGAAGTAAAAACTCAGTATTTAAAGCACTGAAACTTACATTTTGATATGCGCTCCCTATTTTAACCTATAAGGGGTTAAGTTGGGGAAACATGCACATTCTTAGTGTTTGCATGCATGGAAATCTTGACCTCTTTCAATCAGAAACTGCATTCAGTTAAAGTCTGTTTCCTGAAGACAATTTAAACCGAATGATGCGGCTTTATTGCAGCTTCAGCAGAAGTCCTGCTTCTTCCTGTAATGCTTCGTCATGACTGCAACACAACAAATCCATTTCTCATCATTCCTGACAGCTGAAAAGGCAACAATCTTTAAGATACTGTACTGGATCTGAAATGAGCATGAACTTGAACTTTGCTTTGGACACAAATAGTATTGAGTAAGTTTATAATTCTACGACAGCATCATATCAACACACCAGTTCAAAGAGTTAGTTACAGATGGTTCACTAATGGTACGTTTAAGCTAGTAAAACAAATTCAGTTAAGGTTAGAGTACATTTTTCAAACTCAAAGTAGCTTAGGCAACTAAAATAATACAATTTACCTACCTATCAGTTTACACCTTGTTTCCAGTCACGTCTCATTTATTTCAGTAGAACGGGATTATGTAACGATAGATACTATGTGATGATATTTTTGTCAGAGATTTTACCATTTATACGGTGGTAGCTCTTTCTTGAATATTTCTGGGTGTGTTAGGCCATTGTGGGTATTGCTGCATATCAATAAGCAGGACATGATTGATGGCAATATTGTAGTTTAATGTTTTGTTTTTTTGCGTCAATGTGATAAAGTACCTTGATTTGTTAGAGATGAATTTCCTACATAGGTCAAAAAGAGACATCTGACTGGTTCTTTAATGCATAAACAGTTTCTTCATACATTTTCTGGGATACCGTGATAAAAGGATTTAGACCACATCTTCCACTCCTTCTTTGAATCTACGGTTGTGCACGAGTACATTAATCTGATTTTATAAGACAGGAGTCTTACTTTATGCAATGAGGCAAATAATGAGAACAGACCTTGATTTATCAGACAATTGCACCTCAGGCTAAAGCAAAAACGTGGCTTTATGTCTCCAAAGATGCAATAAAAGAGTACAGGACCTAAATCTGCAGGCGTTGAGACCCCTGCATGTGCACAATCTTCACATTCAAATATGCATAAATCCTCCAGTCACCTACAGTAGGAGTGACGTTATGCTATATTTAAACTACAACATCAAGCTTTTATAAAAGGTAGTGCATGCTCACATTCGACATTGTAACATTGTTTTACTTCATTGTTTCCAGCCTCTGTTTCAGCTTTCTCATAATCAGAATTCACCCGATGCGTTAACGCCTCATGATCAAGCAGCTAGCCGAGAGACACGTTACTGAAATGCCATAACCTTTCATTGAGGTTGCTAAACGTCAGTAGACTCCGTACCATGTTGATGAGCTTATTTCGGAGGTCAGTTTCGCACCTGCTTCTCCTCCTTCTTGTCACGTTCAGAGGAGGTCAGTTCCATCGTAGACCACAGGCTTGTCTAGACTCAGATGATACAGCACTTTCTTTGAGATGAACCTAATTAACAGGAAAGACAGAGGAATGCTTGCGTTACGTTTGCGGTTGCTCCTTCCTAAGGCCTATGCAAAAAAGCGGTTTGTGCTCAAGAGTTAACAGAATTTTTAGCAAACACACAAAACCCCTGACATGAGTCAAAGAGTGACTGACCTGGAGAAAGAGTTGTCAAAGATGAGTGTGTATTCTCCGGGGTTTCTGACTTTAAGCTCCCCCTGGATTGTCTCTTTGTGGGAGTTACAGCGAGTCAAAGGAATCAAGACCTGTAAAGAGCAAAGGACAGTCATCTTGTTTGACATTCATAACTGCAGCAGAGAAACATGTGTCTGCATACATTAGGTACAGGTCTGAAAGGGTGAGAGAATGACAAGAGGATATAGGAATAGAGATCGGTAGCATTTGATCTAATCTGAATCCCGTCCAGAAGCAGCTTATTGAATCTTTTTAGCTCATTTGTGGTGGGGAATGAAGGCTTCTTATTGGGATGACAAACTATACTGACTAATTTTTCTTTTTGCTGTGAGGGAAAACGGCATTAAACAATGTAAAAACAACACCGTGGAAATAATATTAATTCCACTTTAACATTCAGCAAATATCAACTAGATAACTTGCTGATTTTTCTGCATGCACATTGCCTGTTACCTAAAGGGGAACTTGTTGCTGCACTGCTAAAGAATCTGATGGCTCAGAGAATACGGTGTGATACCAGCGGTAAGCTGACGCAGACCACTTGTCAGCCTTAAGTTATCAAACATGTCACAACGTCAAGTTTCAACACCATGCATCACAGCACCCACAGCAACACACACCACCAGTCTCCTGAGCTTCACTGCCTCGCAACAGCTGGTTCACCCTTCTCTGCATGTTGCCCCTCTCTCTCTCCTCATCTGCTCTTCAATTGGTAGTCTGATCCATATACTCCATTTCAAATAAATAAGGGCGGCCATTGAATTCAAAGGCTTTATCCACATTGTCCAAATTAGCTAAATATTCAGCCATCACATTGAAACTCTTTTTACATAAAACTAAGCTACACTTTCTGTACTCTTACTACGCTCATGTTTCCACTGTTGTCTTCCTGTAACAAGTCACCTCACCTCTCCTGAGAAATCAGAATGAGACTTCTCCTTGAGCAAGACTTGGTTAGACACACAGCAGATGAAGCAAAAGGAGCAGAATATGTTTCATTTCTCTATACGGTCATGTTGTCAGACACTTATAATAACAATCTGAGCTGGTCAGTGGCAAACATTGTAGCCTGTTTCACTGCTGCATGCTGCAGCTCTCTCACTAAATATAGGACCAAATTGAAAACTTTGTTGCCCCCCTTAGTCACTTTCACACAAAACATGTGAAAATAAGGTCCAGGTTCGTTTTGTTAACAACTTCTTAGCACCTATTTGTGTACATCACTAATTTTGTTTTTCTTTGCAGACACCTGTAGTGTTAGAAAGTGGCAGATTCAATAAAGATTTATTGTTTTACCAAAGCATGTTCTCTTTATAAATATACTGAAGTCTCACCTTGTGTCCTGAGATAACTTTTGTTATGAATGGGGCTATACAAATAAAATTGAATTGAATCACCTTGGCCTGCTCCAGCGGAGTCTCTGTACTCTCCCTGTAGACCACACTGAAGGAAATGCTCTTCGGTTCAGAGGTGAACGTCCAGGTGACAGTCGGACCAGGATTGCTCATAGTGATGGGGATGGTGCTGTAACAGCTGGACTTGATGAAGAGCTCTCGGGAGCTGTCCCCAAACCCTGAGATGTCATCCACCGTGAAGCGGACAGAGAGCCTACAGCACAGTGAATAAAACAGTATATAAGAAAGTTCCCAATATTGTAGGGCTGCAAGCAACAATTATTTTAATAACTGAATAATATGCTGATTATTTTATTGACTAATTGTTTGGTCAATAAAGCAAAAAATGCAAAATGTGTTATTTTATCCAAGCCCAACCTGAAGCCAAGAAGTAGCTTTGAGAATTATAAAATTCCGAACTCCCCAGTTCCCATCTAACATCTCGGTAGATGAGAAGTGGGGAGTCTCATTTTAATGTTGGACTGGCTAACACCCAGATAATACATTTTTGTTGCTGACTCAAATTATCAGACTTCACTCAGCTCCCTCTAGAGCCATAAAAAGGAGTTAGCGTTCCCTATTAAAAATTCAAAATACATTTTAGTTTTGGGGCTAGGATTTAGAACTCAATGCTCAATGGCACTCCACAGACGCAGGTTCTTGCTGACAAAAGAGGCTTTTCCCATACTGACTAAACAAACTCCAAATTACAACAGAAGCAAAACAGAAGTCCCACAAGACGTACTAAGTAACATTTAGGAACGCTGTCCACACCTCTTATGGATTAGTTTCATATTTCACTTCCTTTGCGGGATTTTGACCAAAGTTTTACCCAGAAGAACACAAGAAACTTCCTCTGAAAGTTTTGGTCTAACCTTGTGACCGCATCAACATACACAACTATGCTGTACTCAGGGTTTCCAGTGTAACTTTCACTGCATGTGAAACTCACGTAAGTTCTCCTGACTTCAGCAGGCAGATCTCTGCATCCTGTAATGCAGCACTGAGGTCCTCTGTATCTTCTGATGTGAGCTCTCCTGCACTGGCACTGCTGTTTCTAGAAAGAAGGACGGATATTTTACATTTATACATTATTATACAAATATATCAATTTGTGAAGAATTATTTTCATCTACCGTGATTAAAAGTTGTACAGAATACAGTAATTATTGTCCATCTTAAGGCAATGGAAATGTCTCTTTGATGGCTCACACAGTACACATTCAATGAAAACATACACAAACCATTAAAACAAGAAAGTATACACATAGTACGGCCTTATTTTGAAGGTGGCATGTTGTAATGGACTGTTTTAATCTCTTATGCCATGGTATATAATCTCCATCACTGACTCACTCTGTGCCATAGTCTCAACTCCCCTGTAAGCGAATGCATGTGAGATACTTACAGCTGTGCTGCCCCCTGCTGTCCATATCCAGGAGAGCAGGCAGTGGCAAAGGAGAGGGAGTCACTGTCGTAGACCCCGCTCACTTCCTCCTCTGTGATGATGTCAAAAACACCATCATCCAGCTTGTCACCTTCATTTGCTCCTAGAAAATAAACACCACTTACACCTTTATTATTGCATTTTATACTTACTGCAGTCTGTGTGCTGTTGAAAAGACACCCTCATCTAAAGCAAATGTACAAATACTTTACTGAGTGAGTGTGTGCTGTTACCTGAAACACTAGTCACAGCTCTTCCAGCCTGCAGCAAACGACTGAAAGGTGTCCCTGGTGTGCTGTTACTCACTTCCTCCTGTGGATAGCGCTCAACTACCGCACTGTGCTGGTTGTAACAGTCCCTGCAGCAGCGCTCTCTGTTGCCGCCCTGCTGGGTGCTTACTGTGTTACTGCAGCAGTAGTAGCAGAAGGGACGCCCACACAGTCTGGAAATAGACATATTAAGAAACTTGCTTATTATTTTAAAACATAGATTATATTACATTATTATGTGTAGTGAGAATTAATTGAAGCTTTTTTATTGAGAATGTTTGAAATAAATTCCTACAAAAACTTTTAAAGAGATAAAAATAAGACACATGTACACCTTTTTTAAGTTTGATATTGATATTTTGCAGTGCTGAGGGAGAATCAGTATCACGCACAGAAAGGCCTAATAATGAAAGTCAAAAGTACGATTTTTAAATAAACCCTCACGGCAACAGGTGGTTAAAACTGATGTGTTCTAATGTTGGATCTTGTTTCTGTTGAACGTGTTGCTCTCCTGATGTTCACTGTTACAGCTGAGAACAGTGGAATGAAAATTATGGTTCTCAAACCACTGTTAAATTCTCAAATTTACAGCTCATTTTCTCACATTATATGCATTTGTTGTTGTTTTCACACAGAATGCAAAATTACAAATATTGTCACATGATCCAGTGACACAGACAGCAATTACACTGCCTGTCTAATGAACTGTTCAACTCTCAGACACGTTCATCTTCACATGCAACATATTTCAACCACCTGAAATAACAGATGAATCTTGAAAATTCAATTAGTAAAATGTTCTTCCCCAAAATTGTTTACAGGTGTAATTCATGTCTCTACTCAAAGACACTACCTAGAGGGAGAGTTTTCCAAAGGCGGCACAGCTCCTGAATATGGAGCAGCAACTTGACATTTGTGAGTTGGGCTGTAGGAAGTGTACTGAACCAAATGTGAAGTGAAATACAGAAATAAAATGTCATTGGGCGTCAGCGACTCAGTTCCTTTAACATTTGACTGTCCATACCTTAAAAATCAAAAAAGGGAAATGTCATTTTTGTGGCAGTGATGAACTGAGGGGTGGATTTATTTACTTCTGGCATATGAGTTTTGCAGAAGAAGTTGGATATTGTGTATAAACTGATAAACTGTCTTTTAATGTTTTGAGAACTACAACACTGTTTCAGGAAATGTGCTAAAGCAATTGCAAAAAGAATCATTGCACTACTAGTTTAAAAGCAGTAGCATTGACATATTGGTTAGCATGGTGATAGGTGTATTTGTTTCTAATGCAGAGGATCATCTGACCTGCAGTCGTGCTTGCGGAGCCACCAGCTGAACTGACTGTGACAGCCCAGACAGTAGTTGACATCTCTCTCTGTCTCCTCATCCCGCAGTTTCTGCTCAAACTCCAGCGCATCAGTCTTCTGCCACAGTGCATCTTTCTCCCTGCAGAGAGCATCAAGCATGTTTGCATATGCAATAAAAATCACACAATATACTGCAGATTGCACAAAACCCATAGATAATAAATCTAGGCATCATATTACAACCATGCTTTGTGCATATTTAAATTAATTAAATTTCACTAACAAAAAGAAAAAACAAACACAGTATATACAGGGAAAATACGAGGTAACATGAAGTATGTTTATACCTGATGAGCTCAACAAGCCTTTCCTCCAAATTGATTTTGGTGCGGTAAAGATCATCAAGTTCAGCAGCTGTCTTGAAATCAAAGCTCAGTTTGTCCTGTGTGATTCTCCGTAGATTTTCACTCATCTCCTGACAGGCGTGCTTAGCCTTTGCTAGACCATCCTCAGATCTGTATACATACATACATACATGCACACATAAACACACAGGGTCATATTTGATACATCCAGAAACATTCTCAGGGGACTTTGATCTGCAGGAGTCTGTGTTGTTGTTATTTTTAGGCTGGAATCTTAAAAAACAGTAAGAAGAAGTTTGCCTAATTCTTAGAGAAGGCATACTAAATACAAAATAAACATTCTGATCTAAAAACACAAGATTAAAAACATTTTTTCACAGAGCTCTAATTTAGTCCAGAATGTGTGATTATGAATACAGTATCTCACCTTGATAAATTCCCTTTCAGATGGATTATCTCGTCTTCTTTCTGCTGGATGAGATTTTCAGACTCGGCCATCTGGATGTTTTTCTCCTCAATCTGTTGGCAATATCTCTGATTCTCAGCCTGCAATCAGTACAGCAAAGAAAGACATTATTTCTGGCTCTTTGTGAATTATGCCTGTGACCATAATGTTATGATTACTTCAACTGCTGATTTACACAATGTAACTGGAATTTGTGTTTTCACTTATCAATCCTAGACACACAAATATACATAGAGCTGCATATATATGTATTTTGTCAGAGGCCATGTTTAACAGTTTCATTTCCTTGGTTAGAACCACTTTCAGTGTAGTATCACAATATCAACTTTTCAACTAGGATTTAAAACACCTTTCGACTGCTTTAGTGATTAGACAGGAGCCATTAAAATCAGCTGATGGAGTACCAAACTTTCAGGCAGGTCTGGAATCAGGGTATCCTCTCACCTCGAGCTGTTTGAGTTTGTTCTCCTGGGTGACCACTTTCTCCTGCTCAGTCCTCAGCTGTAATTTCACTTCCTGTAACCCCTGATTCACAGTCTGGATGAGAATACATACGACAAATGATTTGCTGACATTGCTAACTCATAAGAATCAAGCAGTATACTGACATGCAGTCAGTAAGGAGATTTCCCTCTACTACTTCCCCTCGCAGCACAAACGTGTCTGAATTGTACAGTCAAAAGCTGTAGTCAGCTGTAAAACTGTTCATTTAGACGTTTAGAGGCTACTTTGTGACTTTCAATTTTAGTCAGACTTTCAAATTTAATAAGAGAATGCATCACTACATGTAATGACTTATCCTTTCTTAGAGCTGTTACTTTCCCTATCTGAAGTATTTGCGATGCACGTGTGTACTTAAAAAAGCCAGTTAGAACCTGACTATGAAAAGCCTGAGTATGAAAAATCTGGTTTCTCATTTACATGAAGTGTAAGAAATCAACTTAGAGAAAATGTCACCAGGTTACTTAAATGCATGTAAACGCTTTGAAGCGTACTATTTTTCTTTAGCTGAACTGTTAACTAACCTGGAGCTGGCTGCTGTGGCTCATGGCTTGGCTGCTGAGCTGGAAGCGGAGGGCCTGAATCTCCTCCTGGTTCGACTGCTGCACAGCTTCAGTCTCCTGCTGGGCCTTGCTGAGCACTTGCTGCAGCTCCTGCAAACCCTCCTTGTTATGGAGCTGATCAAGGAGTCGCTGGTTCTCCCGACGTAGCTGCTCCATGGAGGTATTCAGCCTCTCTGCCTCCTGAGTGGCCTCCTCCTCCAGCTCTTGCAACCTTGTTGACAAGCCCTCCCAGCGCAGACGAGCCTCTTCGTTCTCAGCAGTTAGCATACACACATGCACACCAAGTTCAGCTGTTTCTGTGTTGGCTCTATGGAGAGCCTCCCTGGATTCACTGTTCTCCAGACACAAGGTTTCATAACGCAGCTTTAGTTTATTGAGCTCCTCTCTGGAAGCTGTCACATCTGCAGCCAGACCTGCTCGAGCCTGAGCCTCACCATCACGCTCCCGGACAAGAGCCTCCTCTCGCTCCCGGGACCGGAGAATCTCATCCACATGCCGGCGGTTTAGCTCCTCCACCTGTGCTTTCAGTTGTTCGGCTAAGACACGGAGGTCCTCTCTTGAGGACTCTGTCACCTCCTGCAGTGCCTGAACTTTCATCCTCTCCTCAGTTCCTGCTAGAAGCTGAGCCCTGAGCTCCACCACCTCTTCCCGGAGCCGGTGCACCTCCCTTAGGTTGAGTTCCAACTGAGCCTCAGCTATAACTAGCCTGAACGGGGCCTCTTTGGTTTCCATTGAGGATGTCTGATGCTCATCGTGAAGCTTCTGCATTTTTTCATTGCTCTCTGCAGCTCCTTTTTCATCGTGCAGCTCCCCAGTCTGGCTCTCCAGCTCTTCCGCTCTAGCTTGCAGAAGACCACATTTTACAGTCTGCTCTCTCAGTTTAGTCTCAGTTTCCTGCAGTTTTTCAAGTAAATCTGCTTGGCTTCTTTGGGACACTGTGAGGTTCTTGTCCAACTTTGCAGATTTGGCAGTGAGTGAGTCCACTTCCTGTTGAGTTGTGGCTAACTGTTTCTTCAACGAGGAATGAACCTCAAGAAGCTCCTCGTTCTCATGCTCTAGCCTCTTTAACTGAGCATCAGAGGCTTCCTTCTGAACAAGCACCTTCTGGACAGTCTCCTCCAAATACACGTTTTCATCCAGAAGCTTCTTCTCCCGATCTTCCACAGACATCTTTGCAGCCTCAACTCTGCCCTTTAAGTGCTTCTCAGAGGCTCTCAAAGAAGCTAATTGGTCTAACAAGGCTTCCCTGCTCTCAGTTAGCTCTGTAATGCTCCCCTCGCTCTTCTGAACTGTTTGGAGTAGCTTTGCATTTAATTCCATGAGATTGCTGCATTGGGTTTTGTAGTCTTCAAGGTTCTCGGTTTGATCACAGGAAACATCTTCATTATCAGCAAATCTAGAGCTCAGACTTTCTTTCTCAACATTTAGCTTCTCCAGTTGCTCCTCTAAATGCTTGATTCTCTCTGAACTAACAGCTAGCTCTTTCTCTCTGTTTTTTAGAGTTTTTCTTACATCCAAGAGCTGGCTCTCGAGTTCCTCATTCTCGCTACTGCTCATGCTACATCTCTGCTCTTCCTCCTCCCTCTCCTCCAGCAGTCTTCTCCTCAACTCCTCTGCTTGCCGTTCCCTGCACTCCAGTGATGCTTGTAGATCCTGAAGCTGGGCTCTCAGGTTCCCCGTCTCCTTCTCTTTCAAAGTCAGCGCTCCCTGAATTCGACCGACTGCACTTTGGAGTTCCTCCAACCGTTTGAGCGCCTCCTCATGTTCATCATGGGCTCCGGCTTTTACTTCAGCCAACTTCCCCTCACTGTTGCTCAACTCTTCTTCCCTAAGTTTTAGCTCCTGGGACAGACGCTCAGAGTGCCTGGACCTGTCCTCAGCCTCTCTCTTTGCCTCCAACCTCTCCTCCTCTGCTGTCTTGAGTTTATCCAGGAGTTCCTGGATTTTCCAGGCTGAGTCGCAGTAGCTAGCTGTTTGTTGTCCCTTTTCTTTAAGAGCCTTGTCCAACTTAGAGAGAAGCTCCATATTTTTGTTCTCAGCAGCTGTGAGTCTTTCTTGAAGTTCACTGTTTATTACTTCTCTACAAGTTTGAAGGTGATTTGCCCTCTCCTGATTATCTGTTTCTTGGATTCTTTGGGTTGTTGTAGACACTGGGTGGCCAGAGAACTTCTGGGCTGCTAATAGCTGGCCTTGAAGGTCTTTAACCACACCTTTCAGCTCAGCAGCCTCTTTGCCTAACTCCTGAACCTGTACTAGAAGCTCTTGTTGTCTGAGCTCAGACTGGTCCAGCTCAATGCGGAGGTTCTCTGAGATGCTGCAATGAGAAGGTTCCCCCAGTTCTACCAGTTCACCAAGGAGACTGTGACTCAAGTCTGGGATTGGGTGAACCTCCTGCGCCTGTTCAGTGAATGGAACAAGAGAACTCTGGTCAGGTGCTTTACACTTCAAACAGTCACATTTACACAAATATGTGTGCACTATGTGTACAAGTGTGTGTGTACCTGTGAGTGTGCGTAGCTGCTAACGAGACTATTGATGCTGGAGCAGCGACTGGGAGGCTTCCATAGGAAAGCTGATGAGGCAGTGCCTAATGTCCGCCTTTGACATAATGAGATACCAAATAATTAAGGTCAATGATCAAAACCTGACAGTAAGACAAACATGCCAACAATCTTAACGCAAGAGAGTAACTTAAGTTTACAGAAGTGAGTATTTGGGTGGTTCTATGGTAACACCAACTACATAATCACATGAGCCAGGAAATGATTCAATACTTAGAGAATGCAATTGTGGGTTAAGTTTATATTTGGTTGTTGATTTTCAGATGAATTTTCTTGAAAAAAACTGAACCACTTGATGAGTGAAGAACTGATAGAAAGATTCATTTATTTGTTAGAAACCTATATTACTTTATATCCATATTTGTTGAATATGGTTGCCTGTAATGTACAACTGCACAGAAAGTCAAACTTTACATTTAGATTACTCTATTTCTTTGTCAAAAAATGTTTATGCTATCAATTCACTAAAATGTATTAAAAGTTTACCAGTTAAGCATTGTGTCCAGTTCTCCTATGATTAGTAACAGATTACACAGTCCCTTCTCTGAAATTTTAAACTGCATGTCTACAGTTGTTTTCTAGGAAATTAGGACCTTTAAAACTTCCTATTTTACATAGAATTAGAGTTCACTTGAAAGTCAGAAAGATGTTTTTAGAGTAAACGTATTCCTGGAAGTTACATATATTGACATATATCTAACATTTCTTCGTACAATGATAAAACTATTTAGCCACCCAGGCATGATTCATGCTAAACAACAAAGTGTGAGGGGTTTTGTTTGGGTCACATCAAATAATTTTAGGGTACTCATGGGAAATGAAAAGTTGAACAAATATTTGCCCTGAATTACAAGAACAGAAAGAAAAAAACAGCAGGTGTAGAGCATATCATACATACCACATCTATACCGTCTACTGTAATCCTATACAATAGCCCTCAAAAGAAACAATGCATTTGTAAATTACATCGTTATTTTATAATCTGTGTGACAGGTGTTAACTCAACCTTTTTTCAGGTAATCTTTTAGGCCATAGCTTATGTTGTTGTAGGTGTTGCTGCACTGCATTATATTATAAGATTTAAATAATAATCAAAATAATGTGATTCACAACAACAACAACAACACAAATTAAACTGTGTTCACTGCCCGTAGAGTCACTGAAAATTCAAGAAAAGGAAGTGCAAATTTTTGGCCAAGGTGTTGACAATCATCAGCATGCTCTAGCACACACACTTACACACACTCAAACAAAAAAAGACCTGTGAATGTGCAGAGTGATCAGATAATTAAGTGTTACTTAAGTTGTGAAATACCCAAAACTGCTTCACCACAATTTTTCATTAGCTAAACTAAACTGGCTAAACGTCTGTCTCCGATCAATTTATAAACTATTTCCAGCCTTAGATTGAAATTCAAGTTCATTTTTTGCAACAAAAGGAAGGAAAGGAAATGATTGTAAAAGTGTAAACAGATAACTGAAGACATTGGTTACCTCGCAAAGCTTGGCCAATCGGCATCGAGGTCGTAACCTCTGGCTGCCACGTCAAATTGGATTTGGTTGAGCTCATAAAGATGGTTGATTATGTCAGCAGTGAGGTGAGACTTGAGGAAGGGACTCCGGACATAATACCAGTCACTGCAGGAGAAAAATATAAACAATAAAAACATAAATTGATACAAAACAAAGTGTATATTGTTGGTTACGCAATGTGTCTTAAGTAAATAGTGTGCTGTTTATGTTAAGATAAGCTTTATTGATCCCATGCAGGGACACACAGCATAGTAATAAAACAAAGAACAAAAACAGATGCAAGCAAGCATGAAAGAATAAAAGCATGAAAATACAGATACTAGGGGTGTGGGGGAAAAAAATCAGGTAACAATCACACGTCTTACACTCTATGATTCAAAATCAATTCAGTTGTGTCGGGACTACAGGTGAAAATAAGCTGTTGAGCTAACATACACTGAACTAGCACAACACATTTAAACCAATGTTGTTAAGGTCACTGTGGATTGCTGTGCACCATTTCATACAAATAAACGAACAAAACTAATATACAATTGTGTCAACTAAGACTAAAATGAAATCAAACCAATTTGATTGAAAATGATTAATGCTGCAGAGGTGCTTGTAGGCATTTTTTGTTACTTTTGGACAGAGCCAGGCTAGCCATTTGTGCTTGCCTTTATACTAAGCTAAGCTAACTGGCTGCGGGCGGTAGCATCACATTTACCATACAGTGTAGTATCCAGATTCTAATCTAAAAAGCATGTGTTTTTCCTAAAAAAAAATCCATTCCAACACCTTTCAATTAGGTGGTTAGGATGTCTGCAAACTGTGAATGATTGGTCAACATATGATGCATATTCTATTATGCATCATAAAACCAAACTTTTGGGAATTTGGAGATGAATGGATGAGGAAGTGAGACGTGGTTGTCTGTGACTGGTCTATGTGGCAGTTGCAATTTCTGTAAAAAAAGGAATGTTATTTCAGGAAGGGAGAGTCACACTTCCTATAAAGGATGCTGTCAAACTGCATCTCAGTGATTCAAAACATGTCTGGGCAACTTGGAGGGAAAAAATGTTGAACAGAATGCAGAGTATATAAGAATATGTATGTCTTCTGACCTTGTGACCTTCTGGTTTATAAGACACTGCTGCAGCGTGTCAGCAAGACGCTGGTGAACGAGCGAGTAGCGGATGAAGGCCCTTCCTTTCCCCAGTGATGTCTTCAACTGAAGACACACAAAAACATGCACAGTCTCATATACAGACATTACCTCGCTGTGATAATGTGAATGTTACAGTTGCAGGACTTTAAAATGCTAGTCATTTTTAACAACGTTGCAACTAACATTTCTTTTCATTATCAATTAGTCTGCCCATTCATTTCTTACTAGTGGGCCATTTTGCCATTTAGTCTGTAAAATGTAAGAAGACAGCAAAAACTGTCCATCACATTTTCAAATGGGTCCAAGATGACGTCTTCAAATGTAACAAAATCTCAAATCTAAAGATATTTGGCTCACAATTATAGAGAGAACAGCAGAAAACCCTCACATTGGAGAAGCTACAACCAGGGAATGTATGGGGTTTATTAAAAAAATCCCTCAAACTCAATCAAAATGATTTATTTTTTTCCTGTTGATTGTTTAGCTCTAGTTGACCCCAATGTAAAATTGTGTTTTGTTAAAATGTGTCCAAGCACAGAACATTTTGTCCAAGTTTAAGGTCATCATCATCGACACTAAATCTACAGTGTGTCTGTAAGCCCAGACTCTTCAATACATAAGCAGATGGATGGATTTAAGTAAGACACACAGATCTACCATAAACACCAGCTGGAGACTTACGTCAGTGACTGACCAACAAGAAACAAGAAAAGTAAAAGAAGAGTAAAAGTAATATTTTAAGTTAGAGTACCAAAGGTTTCCATCAAGTAATTATCAGTCAGCTGGTATTGACTACACTACGTAACGTACAGATATGTTTTGCTAATAAATGAGCGCCAGTTAGCATAAAATGAGACATGTGGTCTTGCTATGCTTATAAAGCAGGACTTATTCAGTAATTAGCCCCCTCATGCTAGAATACAGCTTATTTATAATAGGGTTTTCCTAAAAAATGGAAGACAACAAGAGATCTGAAGATATAAGATCACCTAGGGCGGTGAGAACAAGCATATTAATCAATTAATTGCAAAAATAACTGGCAGATGAATTGATAATAAAAACAATCATTTGTTTTGTAGCCCTGCACTGCTCCACAATGCACCAATTATTGATCCACTTCCAAAGTAGCATGCTGGATGCGTATTCTCGTGTAATTTTAGCACAGAATATAAATCAGCAATGAAATGTTAAGCCTTCACACATTTATATTTCCAATTATTATTTTTGAAAGCATCACTGAAAACGTGCAATTAAACACTCAGATAATTAATAAAAAAGAAAAACTTTTTTTAAGAGACAAAAACAAACTTTGCGTGGTTCTAGCTGCTCAAATGTGAGGATTTGTTGCTTTTCTCTGTCATATATGACTGTAAATTAAATACTTTTTGGACTGTTGACCAAACAAAACTAGCAATTTGAATATGTCATCTTTGAGCTTTAGTACATTGTAATAGGCATTTTCTTCAACCATTTTCTTACATTGTATAAACTAAATGATAAACTGAGTAAAGAAATTCAGCATATTTATTAATATTGAAAATAATTGTTAGTTGTGGCCCTATTAGAAAGAACAACATGGCATGTATATGACATTTTTAAGAATAAACAAATTCAGTAACAGGCACACAGAACGTGAAACAACCTACTAATTAAATACAGCATAAACTAGGACTAATGTGTCTACAGTTATTCCAGTATGAAGCTCACCACTGTGAATTCCCAGGATAGAAGGTGAGGCAGAAACAGTATAGTACAGCAGGTACAGTTGTAAGGCAGCAAGTAAATTAGCAGCACTGAGTCTTACTGTACCCGACCGAGCAAAGGATTAGTTACATGGTTACAGTCATTGCGTATTTGTGTGCGTTGCACGCCATGGCAGGGCCGAGTCAGCGAGGGTGATTGTGTGTGTGTTGCAGAGGAGGATTACCTCAGGGATGGACTTAACAAAACGGATGCCATCGTTAGCTCCCTTGATCTTAATCAGGCAGTCGCAGAAGTAATCCCAGTAGTCTTTTCTCTGACCAAGAAAGGTTGTCTTCTCTTTCTGGTCGAACTAAGAAACACACAACACTTGATTATTGCATTACCTCCTCAGAAACTGTCCAACACTGCAGTGTGTAGTTGAGAACATGGTTCAAATTGTAATCAATATAATTCCTATCAGTTTCCTCCCTCTTTCAATTCAGTCTTTCTTTCAATCTGGGGGTCGAGACCCCTCCTAAGGGGTTAAGAGATGCATTTAATTGGTCACAAGATAATTAATGGCACAGGGAGGAAAACTTTTACTGTAGTTCTGCTACACAACACAACTCAAAATGAAACTTTTACAGAAGTTTTGTTTTGTATACCATACCTGTAGCAGGTATTCCAGTTTATAGAAGAACTTGTGCAGGTTGGCGCTGTCATCAGTTATGGGTTCACCACACTCCCTGTGTTCTTTACTCAACTCTAACACAGCATCTAAACAAGGCAGTTACAGCATTATAATCAGAGATATATATATTTCTATCAAATGATGTTATCGTTTACACATAGAAGGCAAAACATAGGCTTTTGCTCCGACATTTCTATAAATCACAACACATTTACTGATGAAAATCTGTGACTAATCTGTATGCAGATTCTATTAGTTTTTCCCTGGATTTCTCCTTTTGGTCCATTATTTGTGTACACACACACACAGGCACACATAGATATACCTATTTTAAAAAGTACCCATTAAAAAACCTGTCGCATGCCACACAGAGTAATATACTGTAAGAGACTATAGGAGATGGTGTTGATTGTAAGTGTGAACAGCTTAATTACCATGCAAATCTCTGATTATCCTCTGCAGTTGATTATCTCCAACTGATGAGGAGGAGGCCATTGTGGGGTACGGGCAGTGCAGTCAGGAAATTCTGCATGTGGGATTAAAATAACAGAGATTATTATTATTCTAGTTATTACTTCAGAATAGTCCCCATGACATAAACACTGTTCCTTAATATCCCTGAATTGTCAAGAATATACTTGAAATAAATAGCACAAATTACAACAGGTGACTGTGAAAACATGACAAAGCTATTTTTATGTTTAGTAACAACTAAACATAAAAATAATACTTCCCTGCTGTAAAAAATAAATAAATAAAAAATCTCTTTCATAAAGACAGGGCTGACTTCTGAAGTCTTAACCAAATTAGACACATTTAAATATTCCACATGGGTCTGTGAATTTGTTTAGGGGACATGCTGGAGAAACCACAGAAGCTCAGTAAACAGAGGAGGTGCAGCGTGAACGGCACATCACGACGACAGGTGGAAGCTTATCACTGTTTGTAGCGACAGTGTCCTTATCAGATCCCCACTGACACACCATTCATCTGCTGTCATCTGCCGTCGCCATTACGAACAAGCAAAGTTGACTGAAATCACTTTGAAACACCTTTAAAAATGCGACAAACAGTGACATAAACATCGATTTGTCAAAGCTGTCGAGAGCTATCGGACATGCACCTGTTCTCAGCTCTTCATTTCCAGCTCGTATTTCACGCAGATTTATGTTACAGACCACCGCAGCTTGGTTGTAAATAGAGAAAAACACTTCAAAATGGAATAAATTGTCAGGAAAAAGACGTACTTGATGTGTAAAATTGTCCAGAGTGTCCAGTTTGTAGATGATACAGCAGAAACTTGCTAACATTAGGGGCGGGCACTGTGGATGATTGACAGGGCGAACGGACAAATAGCCGCCTGCTACTGCTGGAAGTTTGGTTGAGAGACAATTGGTAAATAAACAGAAAGCTGAGACGTGTGTCCTGCTTTATAAACTTAATATGTGTTGTTGTTTTTTTTACTATAACACTGCAATTACGTGTTTGTGAATGATTATTAATCAATTAACACTTTGGCAGAATATCAATTACTGACTACTATTTGGATAATTTAGTTAGTATAATATATTTGAAGATTAAGATTGTTTCTAGCTTTTTAAAATAGTATTATACATTGCATATCTTTTGTTTGTTGGATTAAATGACAATTAATAGACCAAACTATTAATCAGTTATTCAAATAAATAATTTACAGATTAATCATTAATGAAAATAATTGTAAATCACAACCCTGTTGGATTATGATATTGTTTATAACGACTTTCTCTTCTTGTTGGTATTCTTGTTTGGGGACAAAGCTGTAAAGCAAAGACTGAGAAATTAAAATAGTTTACCTGTACTGTTTCAGGGGTAACAGTCACACAACATAGAGTATGTTTGAGATTAAGCGTAAAGCATAATGGACAGCAGAAACAAGTATTAACAATTAAAGGGAACATGTCTTGTCACATCAGTTGTTGAACAGAACAGAAGTCGTGTGTGTGGGTGATCTGAAAATGATGATATGATTTTACCTCATGACACCTTTGTGGTCGATACTTAAGGAGCCATTCCCAGTTCCTGTGATATTTGCAGGAAAGGCTCTCGTGTGTGCACCGCCTTTGTGCAGGTACAGTATGTTTTTTACACTTTACTCAATTATTTGTTACAGACAGGATCTCTCACGAGGTAGGGCTCAGCAATATTAAGTTAAAGTTTACAATGTTTTTTTTTATTGTTGTTTTACTGAAATATTTGTAATGTGGATATGATGACTAAACAGTTGCAGTCAGTGTCAGTGTAAAAAGATGGAAGAAAGATGTAGTATCTCCTTGTAGTAATAGTCTAGCTTTAACAGAGGCAAAGAAAACATTTAAAGGTGCAGTTCACCTTTTAAGAAATAATAACCTTCCCATATTCCTCTAGTCATCATTATAACAATAGTTTTAGTTTTATTTAGCTTGCTTTAGAGATAGTTAACTTTTATTTCTTGAATTAACTGGAATTTTGTTTAATAACATTCACAGAGAATATTTTCTACCATAAAAAAAAAACAGCTCCTAAAGAGCTCACAGTGACGTCTGTGGATTATCCAGAGTAACTGAAACATTGCTTATGGAAAGAGAGTGTTGCTGTTGAATTGTTCATAACATGTATTTATTAAACAGCTGTTTTTCACCCCACAAGGCAAGGGGTCCCATAAGGCTTTGAACAATGACAATAATAATACAAATAACAATTAAAATGTATATTAAGATAATTATATTAAAATAAAGTGCACATTATGATACTGAGTGTATTAACAGATTGTTTCACATCCATCAGCGGCTTTTAGTTCTTCTTGCACATCAAGCTCAAAATTCAACTACTGTGTCTGTAGTCTGTGTAATCTGACGTGTTTGATTTACCCTTCTTCCTGCAGGAGGAAAATGGCTACAACTGAATACTCCACACCTTCTACAAGCATGACCACTGACTTCAACAAAAACATGACCGATTACTATGACTACGACGAAAACTATGAGAGTGATGCTGAAATGTGCTACAGAACAAGCATTGTGCAAGTTGGAGCGATCTTCACTTCAGTGTTCTTCTCCATTGTGGTGATCCTCAGTCTGTTCGGCAACATCCTGGTCATTGTAATTCTGGCCATGTATGAGAATCTCAGATCCCTCACCAACGCTTTCATCCTGAACCTGGCTATATCAGACCTCTTCTTCACTGCCGGCCTGCCCTTCTGGGCCTACTACCACGTGTATGGATGGACTTTAGGGGAAGATGCATGCAAAATAGTCAGCTTTGTCTTCTACACTGGCTTCTACAGCAGTGGTATCCTCCTCATCCTGATGACTGCTCACCGTTACGTGGCTGTCATGAATCCTCTGTCTAACATTGTGTCCACCAAAGGCTTTTACAGCGTCCTAGCCTCTCTGATAATTTGGGCAGTGAGTGCATTGGCCGCCAGCCCAGCCTTCGCCTTCACCCATGTCACCAACAATTACTGTGTGTCTAAGGATTCTTACTGGAGCTTATGGGGAATCTACCAGCAAAATATTCTCTTCATATTGAGTTCAGTAGTGTTCATTTTTTGCTATTCTCAGATTATGTGCAGGTTGCTCCGTCCCACTGCCCGAAGAAGGAAGAACAAAACTTTAAAACTCATTTTCACTCTCATGATTGTTTTCTTCATGGGCTGGGGACCTTACAATATAGTAATATTTCTACGGTCATTATATTACTGGCGTCAGCACTATGCTGACTCAAAGGCTGCAGCTGGAAGTTGTGAAATGTTAAAACAACTGGATTACGCCTTTTACATTAGCCGTCTTTTTGCCTTTTCACACTGCTGCCTTAACCCTGTGTTTTATGTGTTTGTGGGGATTAAATTCAAAAACCACTTGAAGAAAATGCTGAAGAGCTGGGGTCACAACAACAACAGCATCCGTAGTAGACAAAACCGACTCACAATCACATCGCTAACTAGTGGTGAAGAGCTTTCAATGTAGTTCCAGTTTCCAGGTTCCAGGAGAAAGGAAACTTAATTCAAAATCCTACTGACATATTTGTTTCCAAATAACTAACAATCCAGGCTTGTATTAGTATGCCGTGTGCTTCATTCCATATGTCTAGATAATGTTAGGCATTACCCACAAGCCCCAGACCATCAGGGCGGATGACACATTCAAATTCCTTTTAAATTTGCTTAATTGACTACATGGGACACCTGCTAAACATCAGCATGTTAGCATTAGCATTTAACTCAAAGCTCTGCTGTGTCTATGTACTCTCCCACAGAACTGCTAGCATGGTTGTGTATATTATTTGCTTGGGCGTGCATAATTGTCAAGCTACAATCATAGCTGACATACACTCAGTGGCCGCTTGATTATGCATTTTATCAAATCAGCCAATCATGTGGTAAGAACTTGATGCATGGACATGCAGACATGGTCAGTAGTAAGATTGCCAGATTGGGTGGTTTGAGTTTCTCAGAAATGGCTGATTTCCTGGCATTTTCACTTACAACAGCAACAGTGACTGAAATTAGAACAGGGAACTGAAGCTACAGTAGGCACAGACTCAAAACTGGACAGCAGAAGACTGTAAAACTTTACTTTATCTGACCATATATTTAGAACATAGAACCTGAATCCGTGGATCCATCCTGCCTCGTGTCAAAGGTGTAGGCTGTCGGTGGTTGTGTAATGATTTCTTGGCACACATTAGGCCCCTTAATATCAATTAATCATGTTTTAACTAACAATTCAGGTTAGCAACTAACCTGAGTATTGTGGCTGACCATGTGCATCCCTTTATGTCAACTCATCTCCTGATGTACTGGTAGCCAACCTGGGGGTCCTATCCCCCCTATGGTTCGCTTAAGCTTAACAAGGGTCGCAATGACTTCTTGATTTTAAGGGGTCAAAGACAACAGGTTTAGGCTTATTAATGTATGATTGTTAAAAATAAAAAAATAAAAAACCTTATACAGACAGAGAGTTACATTAAAAGGACACAAACTTCCTGCAGTTGTTGTGTTGACTATTTAGGTTGATTGTACAATTTATTAGCTGTGTATATATTATTCATCAAATACAATATTATATATCCATAAAATATGTCACTTTGTCAGGGTTTAACAATAAGTTCAGTGTCAGTAACCAAATCTCACAAGTATTAGAAAGGTGGTACCTGACCACTGGGTGTGTGAGGCTTTTATTTGACAACAATGATATGTAATGTATAATGTTTCATCCATAATTCCATCTTGTAGTTTCCAATCAAACTGTGCTGTTATTAAACAACAATAAGTGTCTCTGTGTTATGTGATTTTGAATGCATGATGATAAACTGATTACACATTGTAACAGAGATGATATAACTGTAAGTGATTCACTTTGATTAACTGCATTTTACTTTGTCATATAAATCATTTAGATCTTTTATATTTTACCTCCATTTCACGGGAGTCATTCTATATTTTCAAGAGAGTGTTACTTTTGTTTGAATTTATTTGTTCATAGTGTCTATTTCCACACGATAATATCATCATAATCATCATCATCATTATGTACATGCTTTACAGTAAAATAAAAATCCCTCAATTTAAGTTCTGGAGTGTCTTTTTTTTTAAATAGTGAATTACCATCATTGTTGTACCCACGTAAAAGCCTAACCTCAAACATTACTTAAGTTTCTTAAGCTGGAATGCTGATGCGGCACCTCAATGTGAAACAAAAAGAGGAACCATGAATTTGCTCTTGTATATCACAACTTTTCCTTCACAGTGCAAATCAGCATAAGACGTGACAGCCGTTGTTCTGGGTAAGCTGCTTTATACTTACTGTTATTGCTCCCCATATTTTAGCGAGCTGTTAGTACTAAATGGACATTTTTTACGGTGGCCATTTTGAAATGGCATAGCAACCACAGGTGTTGCCAATGACACTGGAGAAGGTTCTATTTCATTCTCTGTTACACTAAATGGAACTTAATTAGTATCATTGGTAACACCTTTGTTTACTCTGCTATTTTATGTCAAAGGACTAAAGAGGCTTATTGTGCTCCATATTTAATATATAAGAAAATATATATATTTTTTGAAATCACAAGGTTGGAGACATGTGCTCAGTTTTAAGTACATTTTGCAAAATAGAATTTTGTGCTCATATTTTCCAGAAAACCTACGACTCCACAATGAACAACCAAAATGAGTTCGACAGTGGTTTTGGAAAACATGATTGTGGGACTTTTGACTTCGAAACTCTCAGTGGTGTCTTCTTCATTTTGATCTTCATCATCAGTGTCACAGTCAACATTCTCCTCTTTTGTGTTCTTGTCACCTACAAGAAGAAAAAGGTTACAGATCTGTTTGTCCTGAACCTTGCCTGCTCTGATTTGGTCTTCACTGTCACACTTCCATTCTATGCCGTCTATCACCTGCACCACTGGATCTTTGGTGACTTTGCCTGCAAATTTTTGACTGCAACATACTTTGTTGGTACTTACAGTAGCGTCATTCTGCTGACTGCCATGACTGTGGATCGTTTCATAACAGTGGTGCTGCACAACTGGCCAAGTAACCCTAGAAAGAGGCAGAGGTGTGCAATGGGCGCCTGTGCAGCTGCCTGGGTCATCAGCATGGCTGCATCCATTAGCGATGCTATCAAAGTAAAGGTAACCAACCATGAGCTCAATGTTTTCTACTGTGAGGATCCCTCTAATAGCTCTGATGTCAACGTGGGATATTACCTCCAATCGTCGCTGCTCTTCTTCCTCCCATTTTCCATCATTGTTTTCTGCTATTCTGCCATCCTCAAGACAGTTCTGCAAGCCTCAAAC